TCGTGGAAAGGACCTCGGGCTATCAGGCTACCTCGCTGGCCTGGATGAACCTCTGCAAGCGATCGGCGATTGCTTCAAGAAGATAGCGAGCCGGAGCCTCCGAAAGGAGATAGACAGAGGCGACTGGTCAACGAGGGCTCCTTGGCTCAGGCGAGGGAAGAACGGCTACAGGCTACCTGGGCGATAAAGCTGAAGGAGGAGCTAGAGCTTTGTGGGGCCCCAGTCTTGAAGAAACTGCAAGGAAGCCTGGATCCTGATAGGGCTATCCTGGCGCTGGCGGGGAAAACCCGGGCTAGCACGCTGAAGCGGCTACGTGTCCATCGACGTAAGGTGGCGGCTATGGCTACACGAGGCAAAGGATGGCCCGGCCTCCTGGGCTACCGGCCGATCTGACTATATCATCGCGAGAGGAGATGAACCTTGTGGTAGAACTGTACCAGAGGCTATCCTCAAGGCGATTAGTATTAGCTGGATAGAGCGCGTGGCTGAGTGGTCCACAGAGGCTAGAGCAACCCACGGGAGAATTGCCTGGGCCATCAAGGATACGGTGGTTGAAAGGCTATCGTGGAAGGCCGACGCGGAGAGCACCGAGATACCCGGCGGCTATCCTGGTCAGGTGGGAAAGGCTAGTCCTCGACACTAGCATTGCCGTGGGCTGGAGAGTTTGGGGCTGGGCTAAGCTCCTGAAGGCCTGGGGTAGTCTCCGGTGGTCAGATCTCCACGAACGAACTGGCTATGGTGGAAGGTCGGCTATCGACCATCCTGAGGCGAACAAAAACCACCGGGGCTAACAGACGCATACGGGGAGCTACCGTATGCATATCGGAGAGAGCCTACTTCGAGGACCCAGCCTGGCTACTGGTGGGCTTCAACCTGCTGAAGAACCATGCAAGCTATCAGCGGGACTACCTGATGCCGCGGCTTGGGGATAAGGGTGCCCTGGAGAAGAAGATGGCTACCTACGCCGACGCGATGGTGGCGACGGCCGGGTTACTGGCTATGGTGGGGATACCAGTGGTGGCTAGAGGCTACTGGTCAGAGCACAGCGAGAGGGCAGTGCCACCCACTGGCTTGAGCCTGAAGCCGATACCTCCGGCGGATAGAGACACGCTGCCATCTACGCGGAAGCGGCTAGGGCACGAGACTAGACCGGGAAGAGCAGCTAGACGAGAGAGAGATTGCAGGGGGATCCCGCTAAGTTACCTCTTCCTCGCGAGTCTTGGCTACCCCTTCAAGTGGTCCAAGACGAGGGGGGGTTTCGGGTGGAGTGGCTAGGCATGGAGACGGAGCACTCCACGTGGAAGCTAGGCCTGTCTCAGAAGAGGACCGACTGGCTAGTGGAGTGGCTTCGGAAGCTAGTCCGTGAAGGGAGGTGCGAGGCCCGACCCTTCGCACAAGGGCTAGGACGCCTGGGCTTTGCAGGGAAAACTGGGACTCCTGACGCTACCCACGATGATCCGCATGAAACCGGCCTCGCTACTGGACGGGGCAGCGCCGCTCTCCTTCTATACCGACGCTAAGGCCGAGAATGGGCGAGCCTGGATCGGCGGCTTTCTTGAGCTAGTGGACGGCTGTCATGGCCCCTGGTTCTCGCTAGAGGTGAAGAAGGAGTGGGCCCCCTGGGCCTTTGCTAAGGGAGACTGACCCGAGTCATAGCCGCTTTGGAGCTACTGGCTACCCTGGTTGGCGTGAAACTCTGGGTCCCCGACGGGGATGCTAAGAAGACCTCCAAGGTCGCTATCCGTGGTTAATTACACGGACAACCAGTCCAACGAGGCGCTACTGAAGAAGGCTATGACAACGAAGTTCCCATCGACCTTGGTGCTGATGGAGCTAGAGGAACTCTCCGCTAAGAACTGTGAGCTTCAGCTACAGTGGATCCGCAGAGATCTGAACCAGCTAGCGGACGACCTCACGAACGAGAACTTCCCAGAGAACCCAATAGTCCATTCAGGAAAGCGCCTCTAAACATTCATCTTTAATTAGAGTTTATAGTCCTTAAATTCATAGGCCTTAATTAAGGTCTGTTACCTTCCTTAATTAAGGTTCATTATTTCTATATATATTTTATATACACATATACATATTTTCTTCTTTTTGCACATGCATGCATGCACACAGGAGAGTTATTGTATGCTCTCCTATATATACGCATGTCCACACATGCATCATGCATGCATTGCAAAATTTTTGTTGCCATGTTTTGGGATGCATGCACTGCATGAGACGGACTTGAATGCACGTTCGACACATTAGATTTATGTGTTGTCTTTTTTTTTTCGGCTCAAGCTCCGGGCACGTCTACGGAAAGGTCACAAGAAGACCACCGGACAGAGTTTTTGCCCTTGCAATCATGGTTGCAGAGGAGATAGTGCTGCATTGCTCTGCTGGAAGTTTGCTATTATTCTGCGACTTGCATGTATACAGGATCGCTCAAGATCGAGATCGCCACGGCCTGTTCGCTTGGAATGGCGATGGTGTTGGAAAAGCTTTTGGCTCGGAGAGACGCAGCGACTTTCATGCAGACGGTTTTAATCGACATGCACGTGTTGAAACATGTTTTATTGTTTGCGATCGATTTAATGCAAGGATTTGGTACTGGATATGGTGGAGGCATCCCCGTGATTGAGCCTGCAACACCGGTGCAACCTAGATAATTCGGTTTTCCATGCGGGGGCCAGCGAGCTACACCCACGGACTCTTGAATATGTGCAGCAGGTCGATCCTGAAGGGATCGAACTTGCAACCATGGAAGCAAAACGAAGGTGCAAGATCGCGAGTGCATGCTTGAACTGGGTATATATATGTTTTGTTGCACGCCTGCAATTTTTTTGTTTCGTTTGTTTGAGCATGCTTTAACCTAGCTTTTTCGGCTCAAGCAAGCTGCTTGTATAACTCGATCGATCAATCGATCCTCCTTTTCCTTCAGGAGGACTAGTCATGATGTCGAAGCCAACCGCCAGCCCTACCAAGCCCCGGGCTCGGAACACCGCCACCGATGAGCAGGTAAAGAAGATTCTCAGGAGCAACCTCAGCAACCTGGGCACGGCTTACAAAGAGACGGACATGGAGCTGATCGTGGCAGGCTATGAATCCTTCATAGTCGATTTTCTCAAGGTCTCACCAAGGCTGGTAGCGAAGCAGCTCAGCCGTTGTGCGGCAAAGGTCTTTGAAAAAGAATCCTCGGCGGACGTTGATATGTTCGCCCGCCAAGTTGCGTATTCGCTGAGCTATGTTCGCATCAAAATGAAAGCCGTGACGTCTGGCAAGAAGACTCACCCGGCTATCAAGCGGGTCTGCGAGTGCTTGCAGAAGCTAGATGCAGATGAGCTTCAGCAGCAGGATCGCCTGAGTTCGCTTCGCAAGAGAGTGCATAGCCCAGACAGGTCTGCGGGCGGCATGCACATGTGGAAAGGGTGTGCGAATATAAAGGCGAAGGCCAGTCCTGGCAAGAGGCACAAGTCTCAGTCGTCTCGAGATCCTAGGCCAAGCAAGACAGGCACGACTTCGACTTCGGCATCCACGTCTGCAGACATCTATGCCATGTACGGTATCTCCCGTGGTGCTGAGGAAGCCTTGTCGAAGACGGCTCCTGCATCGCCCGCAATCTCGATCGCTAGCTGCAATACAATTCACAGCTCCGATGGCGAGCCTGCGGAGGATCTCGAGACCGCACCCGCAGAGGAGGCTTCCGGATCCTCGGGGATCACATTGCAGTACTTTTGCAAGGCCTCCTGCAAGTACATCACTCGGATGGCGGACGGCACAGAAAAGCGGCATGCTGTGTTCAAAGGACCTGAAGGATTTCTCAAGACCAAGGTCTTCGGCAAGCTCAAGGACCTGGATGTGCCCAACTTGTTCCTGCAGACCTTCGAGAATGCAGCAGGCCGTGGTGGCATCTCCAAGATCATGAAGCGGCCAGCCGCTAAGAAAACGGCTAAGAAGGCTCCTGCTAAGAAGGCTCCTGCTTCTGCCGGGTCTGCATCTGCAGATGGCGAGGCCGAGGAGCCCGAAGAGCCCGAGGAGCCTGAGCTGTCCACACCCCCGCCCAAGAAGCCAGCGACTCCGAAGTCCAAGTCCTCGCCGAAGCCATCCCCGAAGTCCGCAGCGAATCCATCCCCGAAGGCCGCAGCTACCCAGGCTGGCAGTCCGAACAGGGACAGTCTCATGTGTGCCTCCGTCCACTACATCATGGCTTCCGATCGCACTTACATCACCGGCAAGTTCGGTCCAACCAAGGCCTTGCTCATCGAGATCCACTCAAGGAAGTCCGACAAGCATCGGGATCTGGTCAAGGAGCTTTTCCTCGAGGCTGAGCGGCTTCATTCGACTACCCCCTGGGGTGAGCTTCGTGAGCTGATGCGGAACCGCCGTGAGGAGGTCCTCCAGCGGCAGGCTGAGTGATAGCTTGATCGAGGGATGCCAGGGCCCAGCCCGGTTTTGCGGAGATCGATGCAGCTTTGGGCAGGTTTTGAGGTTGATCTTGCCATCGGTTTGAAACAAGTGTGTGTGTGTGTGCACGTGTTTGCATGTCTGTGTGTGTTTTTTTGTGTACATGTGCATGTGCATGTTGGCAATTTTGGCATGCAGAGGAATGCTTTGCGAGGCTCCTTGCATTATATATATATATATATATACATAGAAATTTCTCCTGCAGCCCTTTTCATGTGTCCAACCTTGCCCTCAGGCCCGGCTTGCTGTTTTCTTCTTAGCTATGCATGCATCGACCTTTAAAAATTTTTGTCGCATGAAACTCCTTGCAGGTGATGGGGCCCATCGAGATGATCTTCGAGGTTTATCTGCATGGCATGCACGAGGACTGCCAGTGCTTAATGTTTGCATCTGCATGTTTTCGAAGAGCTAGGCATGCAGGAGTGGCAGTGCTTGAATGTTCGTGTCTCCTTTGAATAGGAAGGCATGAGCACAGCATGCGAGCCTCCTGAGATCGCGGCTCGAGCGACAAAAGAAGTTCGATCCAATATCTTCTTGTGCGAACAAGCATGGGTGCCGCCCAGTCGACAACGGGTAACAACAACCCGGCGAGCTCTGGCAACACCAATAACACCCCAGCCCCCATCGTGATCCAGCTACAGCTGGGAGCAGAGCAACTCTCCGCACTCACCGGAGCTGTTGCCCCAGGGGTTCACGTGCATGTGCCCCCCAGTGGGTCGGATGCTGCAGCAGGCGGAGCTAGCACGACTCCAGGAGCTGCCCCCCATGGTGCTCCTCCGGTACCGTTTCCGCCTCCCCCGCCTCCAGCGGAAACTGAGCAGTATCTCAGGTGGTGCAACCGCTGCAAGCAGCAGAGCTACTTCAGGGAGGGCATCTGCCTGAACGAATGGTGCTCCGTGCCTTGGCTGCATTATTGTTTTTCTAAACCTTCGACTACTAAACCCTGCAGCCCTTATAAATCAACCTTTAAACCACCAATCACAAACCCCTAAGCCCCTAAACCATGAGATCTAATTTGAAGATAGGAGGCCGGCCTTTCGGGGGCTGCCTCCTTAAGTTCGTTGCTTTTGTTCCATGGACAAGATGCTAGCTAAGTTGGCTTGGTCGCGGCCAGACGTGGACTTGAACGTGGCGAAGAACTGGGGTGGAAAGAAAGTGGAGGCTTCGGTGCTCAACCACGGAGTGCACAAAGCAAAGAAAAACCGCGGGCAAAAGCGGAAAATCTGGTGGCAAAAGCACCTGGAAAGAAAGGCCGGCAAGTGGGGCGGCGAGTGGGGCGGCGACTATCAGGGCGACGATGAGGAGAATAAGGAAGATGCGGAGGAAGGCAAGGCCCCTCCTCCTGTGGATCCAAACCACCAGCCCCTGGGCAAGAAGGACGGCCCCGACGATGACCACCACGATGATCCGGGCCGCACAGTGGATTCAGCAGGATCGGCAGGATTGCCGCCGCCGATCCACGTGGTTTAAGGACCGATCCTGGTCGCCTGAAGATGCATCTTCGCTTGGAAAAGAGTTGAGGTGTGCTTTGAAGCCTCGGTTGTTTGTGCTTGCATGTCTGCATGCATGCATATATATATATATAGCAGTTCATGCATTCTCAAGAAGTCACTTCCTCGCAGGACCCAGACAGTGCCGACGAAGCCGAGGCACCCGGGCTTATCATGCATGGGCTGGGTGCTAGTGTATGCTCCTCGTGCAGGTATATCTACATGCCGAACTGCGGGGACGATGTGGGGCCGGCCCCGCACTGAAGTTTGTGGTCTGTGTCGCTGAGGCTGGCTCTGGGGACTATACCATCCAGGCTGGCCTTGGTCGTGGTGCCGCTGCCTTGGCTGTGTTTGTGTCTGTTCAGGAGACACTCCTCTTCAGCAGGAGTGCCTCCTTGGGGTTTCAGGAGGCGATCCCTCCTGGTGTGCATGGTGTGAATAGATTTAATCTAAACCACCCAAAGATCTAAAACCCTAGACGCCCAAAGCCCTGAAACTCTAGAACCTTAAGCCTTAAAACCCTAAAACCCTAGAACCCCTCAACCCTAAAACCCCTCAACCCCTAAACCCCTAAAGCACCAAACCCCTAAAACCCAAAACCATTCCAACCCTTAAGCCCCAAACCACCGTGCCGCACAGCACGACACCTCGGAGCCGCTGCAGGTGTGCATTCTCCAGGGACTACAACATGGAGGCTGTTGTTGCCAAGTAAGCTCCTGCTCCTGCAGGTGTGGTGCACTGTTGCCGGCCTCGTGTGTTGCATGCCTGTGGCACCGAGGCCCGACTTCACGGACTATGTCGTCGAGGTGGCTGTTGCTGTGGTGTCGTTTGCTGGGCTGTGTTTTTTTTCCTGGAGGAGGCAACCCCTGGCTAAGGAATGCCTCCTGGTATGATCTGTTCCAGGAAACCCTCCTGATCAAGGAGGGCTTCCACAGACCAAGCAGTTAAACACTAGTTAAAATTTAACTCTGATTTAACTTGGATTTAACTCCATATATAAGTACCAGGCAACTAACCGGGAGTTAAATGCAAGTTAAATTGGAGTTAAATTTTAACTCCTCTTTAACTTCTCCGTGCCCCTGAGGTGACAACGTGTCTCTGACTTGGCTATGATCCAGGAAAATGAATGGCCGCAGCTTGGGTGCTGTTGTTGCCTACAAGCATGCATATGTTCTGCTCCTTTGCCTCAGCTTTGTTCATCAAGCCAGCTGTCCCCAGCCGTCGTGACACCAGGCCGTCACTCATGGGAAAGCCAGCTGCCAAGAAGGCCATGGCCAAGGCGAAGAACGGTCCCAAGGCAGCACCCAAAGCCACTCCCAAGGAGCTCAAGAAGCAGGAGATGGAGAAGGCTGCTAAGAAAAAAGATCAAAGCAACTTGGTCACTACCCTCAAGAATGCGAAGACCAAGCTCCAGGGAGTGCAGAACGGCACGATTCAGGTCAGCGACGGCGAGCTGGAAAACCTCAAGAACAAGGCCGAATTTTTCGATCGCTATGTGAGCTTGGATCGCAATGATCCAGAAAAGGCGCAAATGTTGGCTGCCTTCTTGGCAGACAAGACATGCAACAACTACATGCAGAAGATTCGGGAGATCTCCACCGAAACGAAAACCGAGGATGAAAAGGCTTCGGGATTTGTGACACAATGGGAGATTGCCGCCAAAGAGAACCTTCCGGTCGACAGCCCGCTCTTGCAGAAGTTGTTGGACGGTCTCAAGTTCGACTACGATTGGAACGAAGCGGTGCCCAGAGAAAAGGTTTTCAAGGAGGCCGGTGAAAAGCGATTCTTCTATGAGAAGAATGCCATGACAACCGAGAAGACCTCCTTCAGCTCCAAGTCCGGTATCACCGCAGCAGGAGATCTCGGCAAGAAGAAGGCGGACTCCTTCTTGAACGACAAGGACACAAGCACCGCCGACCCCGCCGCCAAGGTGAAGATCGAGTTCCCCTTGCATGTGGAGTTGGTCTCGAGCGTGAAAGTGCTGAAGAGCGGCAAGCAGAAGATCCAGAAGGAGCTCAACACAGGCAAGGACTTGTGCCAGAAGCTTGCCACCGGCGGCGGCTACGACACGACCGATCTGGCCAATGCGATTGACACCTTCGACAACTACCTCGCTACCCTGAGGCAGCGGATCGCAACTGCCGAGGAGGTCCAACCTCCTGATGTTACCAAGGAAGTGGTGGCTGAGCTAAAGGCAGAAATCGATATCGCCGACACACATCTGGATGCCTTTAAGAGGGCCATGACTAAGGCGAAGAACCTTCGCTAGCCATGTGCCATCTGCCAGAGGGGACCTCCTGTGTACACGTTTCGGGAAGATTTATAGAAAGGTTTTGATTAGAGTTGGAAGGTTTAGGGTTTTGGGTGTAGGTTACATGAATCATTTATATCTATATATATATATATGTATTGTATATATATATATATATATATATATATTACACATACAAAAGCTTAATATATTAATATATATAGTTATAAATATGCATACATATATGTATATATATATATATACATACATATTTCTATTCTGTATTATACCGTATAATAAAAGCATATCGCAGAAATTATGAGTTATAACTAAGTATCATGCATATAACAGATCTATGTATAATATGTTGTGTATATATGTATACATAAATCTGGTATACCGACATATCTTAACTTGTATGCACTTTAGTGTATATATGCATTATAATTATACATTATGTATAAATATACATATATATATATATAGTTAACATTGTAGCTTTACTATTAGATTAAAACTACATACAAGCTAGATCAGGGCTAGATTAGCTATAGGTTACATATAATACATATATACACACGCATACGTATTATTAAGGTATCTATATATACCCTAAACCTTATAGGTCAGCCGTTTGGATTTGCAACCCCGAACAAGTTTTGAGGAGGTCTCCGCCTAGAGTTCCACAGCTCCAGGTTTTTGAATGATGCCCGGATCGCCCTGCAGCCGCAAAATGCAATCAGCTGGCACATGAGTCATGTGTTTGCATGTTCGAACATGCCTGCTATGCATGACTCCGACCCTTTGCATGTATGTGGATGTGCTTGTGTCCATGCATGCATGCATGCATGCATGCAGCATCGTCGGCTCTTGGCAAATGCTTCAGCGATTTACAACTGTAGGTGTCGGTTGTTGTTCTCGTGCCATGTATACATGTTACCAGGCAAGAAGAGACCAGAGAAAGGCGAAAGCGCCGATCGTCGCCTCAGGTCTCGAGTGGAGAACTTGTTTCTTTCAAACACTTTGAGTGCAGAGGAAACTTCCGATTTGGCTCGGGATGCTCGCGACTCTGGTGTCTCCTCCTTAAGGAGATTGGCCGAGATCGGTGAAAGGAGGCAAGATGGCCTCGCTCGACCCAGGGATATTAGGAGGCACCTATCCAAAAACAGTCACTGGCCTCCTACATACAAGTTTCAAGCTCCGGTTTGGGACAAAGAGAATCAACGACAACAAACAGCTACTTTGACATGCATGCTGCCCCACGAGGTTTTGTATGTCATGAACGAAAAGTCCCCTGAGGGTGGTGGCTTAACAGATCTAGCCCATCTCCAGGAGTCTGAGCTTCAAAGGCATGCTCGGGCTGCAGCTGACATGGGGATCGATCGTGAAAGCCTCACCGGGCTCGGGATTTGGGGCGATGGTGTTCCCATGACCCGAAACAGAAACCAGAGCTTGGAGATGCTCAGCTTCAACATCCTCACATGTCAGCTTCGCAGCACAATGCGAATTCCAGTTTTCGTCATTCAGAAACATTGGCTAGCCCGTGGGGGATCTACATGGGATGCTGTCATGGATGTGCTTCGGTGGTCTTTGACATGTGCAACTTCTGGTCAAATGCCAAAGTACGATCACACAGGTCTGCAGCCGCTTAAGGAACCATGGAGAAAACAAAGGGCATTGATCCATACGCCTCGAAGTGTTTTGCTGGAAATACGAGGCGACTGGGCTTTTTTCAAGCAGGTGCTGTATATGCCGGCATGGTGTCTTGGCTGCATTTAGTATGCTTTGACTTTGTACCTGCATACATGTACTTATTTAGTAATTATTCCCTTTTGTAGCCCGGCAGGAACGAAGCCTCTGGTTGTTGTTGGATGTGCGACATTAAGCCTGAAGATATCCGAGAGGTTTCAGGTGAAGCTGCATGGATGCAGCCAGAGCACAGGAAGACTCCGTGGCAGGCACTCATGGCTGCTCCTAGCATCAGTCCCATTTTCGCAACACCGTATGTTGGAACTGAGTGCATCCAAATGGATTGGTTGCATGTGGTGGACATAGGAATTGCTTTGCAGTTCCTGGGATCCATAATGAAGTACTTCTGCTCGAAGTTTGAAGGGACGTTTGACGAGCAGGTTCGAGAAATGTTCCGCTGCATTTTGGAGTTCTATGATGTCCAGGCCGTGGAATATAGGTTTGATCATCTAAAGCCTTCAATGATCAAGGATCCTAAGAAGAAGTTCCCCAAGCTTAGAGCAAAAGCTGGGGAATCGCGATGCCTGGTGCCTTGGGCTGCACAGATGGCTGATGCTCTTAGGGATGCTGACAATGAGGTGGAACAGACCATGTACAAGTGTGCCTGGCATTTCAACAAATGCTATGAGCAACTGAGTAGCAGAACGTTCGATGCTGCTGTTTTGGCCGAGCATGGAGTTGCATTCGCAAATCTCTATGTCGCTCTGCATGAGCACTTCACGGTGCAAGGAGTCTGCCTCTTCAAGGTGACTCCTAAACTGCATCTCTTTTGCGAAATCAGCTATCGAGGCCGGGATTGCCCCAGTGTGCACTGGTCATACCGAGATGAGGATTGGGGCGGGAAGATGGCTATTCTTGCAGCCAGCAAAGGAGGAGCCAACACCCCGAATGCCTTGGCCAATGCTTTCTTTTCTCGTTTCACCTCGGGGCATAAAGTGCCTGTGCTTTGATATGCCTATCGCCCGTGCAGAAAAAATGAGAGATCGAAAGCTTCATGCATGCATGCGCATGCATGCAGGCATGGCCTTTGCAAGCCTGCAGCTTGAATGTCGAAACTCTGCATGCATGTTGGCTCGAATATAGTTATATATTCATGGAAGGCCGCCGTGCATGGCGGCTCCAGCACATGATGTCCAGATTTCAAAAGCGAGCTTGCATGCCAGAGGTGAGCATGCATCGTGCCTTATCGACAGTTCAGGCACGATGCATGCATGGCATGCAATGCACTGCGACGCATGATGCGAAGTCGAAGAACAAAGTTGGTTTTGCAGCTGCTGTTTTTTTAAGCTAGCTTTTTCTAGGCATGCATGATTTCGATATCATATATGCACAACACATATGCATTGTTCTTTTTCCATGCATGCATGCACGATTCCTACATGATAATGCTGGCATGATCATGCATGAGGAGGGACTATTCCTCCTGGGCGAGACACCTGCAGGTGTCTTTTCAAAGGATGGGCTGAGTGCCCTCCTTGAAATCTACGGTGCTGCAAATGCAAGGCTTCAATATATATGTACATGCATGCATTTATAATCATGATGATACATATATACATGGCATGCATGGTTTTGATTTTATAATACCATGACATGCATGCTCCTTAAACAGAATGCCGCATGTGGAGTTTCTATGCAATCTGAAGCCGATATCGATGAGTCATGCATTTGCATATATATATATACATATATCATATAGTAGGATGCATGACTGCATGCATGTGCATGGATCGATATCTGTATGGCATACTACATGTACATTGATATATTCCCACGACACCGAACACATGCTCCCTAAACAGAATGCCGCATGTGAATTTTTCATACTTAACGAAGGGCATAAAATATTCAAGTCCTCCCTACACCTGTTTCCTTAAACAAGATGCCCGCAGTTCATGAACTTAACATGCAACTTGCCATGCCGCACCTCACGTCGAATCTTCCTTAATTAAGGAGGAAAGTTGTCTTCTTTAATTAAGGCGTATTGTCGTTAATTAAGGATTACTACCTTAATTAAGAATGGTTTTCTTCTTTAATTAAGGATTATAGTCTTTAATTAAGCACTATAGTCTCTAATTAAGGGTGCTTTTAAGCGCTCATTAAGTTAATTAAAGGCTGAACTCTTAATTAAGGTCTATTGGGTTCTCTGGGTTCGCTAGTTTCTCCCCGGACTTCAGGGTGAACCTGGAGGGGGAAAAGCTAGAGTGGCGTGTGCTGGGCCGTCTCCTCGAACACTCGGCTAGCTACTTCCAAGAGCTAGGAGTGAGGAAGAGAACCGGAGAGCCGAGGTTCGCTAAGAAGGCCCGTAAGCTAGGTCCCTGGTAGCCCTCCGGCTGCGCAAGGAGATTAGCTAGCCAAAGGCTAGAGTTCTTCTCCGGGCTAACGCGGGACTTCGCCACACTGCTAAAAAGAGAGAAGTTCGTGTTGTCCGTGCTACGTGAAGCCAGTCAGTGTGAACTAGGTTTGCTACGTACTCCCCGGAGGTGTTGAGGGAGGTGGCGGGAGGATACGCTAGCTAGTGTACGCACTCGTGCCGAGGGACGAGGTACGACCGTGTATGCTAGCGCTAGTATCCTTGTGTGAAACATCGAAGGTGTTTCGCTAGAAAACGTCGAAGGGGTTTTCCTCTGAAGCTAAACAGAACGAAGCCTGTCTGTTTGCTAGAGTGTCTGCACATGGCCGGTGGAACGAGACTATTCCGTGGCCATTGTGCTGAAAGGCCCCGGGCTACTGGGGGGCAAATTTCGAGTGCCCACCCAACCCACCCTGGAGATTAGCTAGCCAAAGGCTAGAGTTCTTCTCCGGGCTAACGCGGGACTTCGCCACACTGCTAAAAAGAGAGAAGTTCGTGTTGTCCGTGCTACGTGAAGCCAGTCAGTGTGAACTAGGCTTGCTACGTACTCCCCGGAGGTGTTGAGGGAGGTGGCGGGAGGATACGCTAGCTAGTGTACCCCGAGGGGGATGCTAAGAAGACCTCCAAGGTCGCTATCCGTGGCTACACAGACAACCAGTCCAACGAGGCGCTACTGAAGAAGGCTATGACAACGAAGTTCCCATCGACCTTGGTGCTGATGGAGCTAGAGGAACTCTCCGCTAAGAACTGTGAGCTTCAGCTACAGTGGATCCGCAGAGATCTGAACCAGCTAGCGGACGACCTCACGAACGAGAACTTCGCTAGTTTCTCCCCGGACTTCAGGGTGAACCTGGAGGGGGAAAAGCTAGAGTGGCGTGTGCTGGGCCGTCTCCTCGAACACTCGGCTAGCTACTTCCAAGAGCTAGGAGTGAGGAAGAGAACCGGAGAGCCGAGGTTCGCTAAGAATCCCTGTTCAAAGCAACTGACCTTCCGTTCGTTGGTATCTAACCTTCTGACCTTTTCGTTTTGGGAGCCTTTAAGGGGCTTTGAAAGCAGGATTTAAAGTGAGCATTGAAGACCATGAACAGTGAACAGTGGACAGCAGCAGCAGCAAAAGCAGGAGCAGCAGCAGCCAGAACAGATTGCAACTTGGAATGGGGGTGGGGCAGGGCAGGCTCAAAAATGATGTCGTGAATATATTGTTGCCAGAGGGAATATACACGACACTGTCCTCTGTAGTAGTAGTAGTAGTAGTAGTAGTCGTAGTAGTAGTAGTAGTAGAAGTGGTAGTAGTGGTAGTGGTCGTGAAAATGGTAGTGGTAGTAGTACAGTATAAAGTGGTAGTAGTAGTAGTAGTAGTAGTCGTAGTACTAGTAATAATCGCAGTAACGACACTGTCCCCTGTCCAATGCACGTGTGCATGTGCTCGCGCACACTGTTGACTGTGCCTGCACGCGCTGTTGCCTATGCTCGCACACGCTGTTGCATGTGCTCGTGCACGCTGCGCGCACGCTCTGTGCACACTGTTGCCTGTGCTCGCACACACTGCGCGCGCTGTTGCCTGTGCTCACCCACACTGCGCGCGCACTGCGCGCGCACTGTTGCCTGTGCTCGCCCACACTGCGCGCGCACTGCGCACGCACTGCGCGCGCGCTGTTGCCTGTGCTCACCCACGCTGCGCGCGCACTGCGCGCGCACTGCGCGCGCGCTGTTGCCTGTGCTCACCCACGCTGCGCGCGCACTGCGCACGCACTGCGCGCGCACTGTTGCCTGTGCTCGCCCACGCTGCGCGCGCACTGCGCGCACACTGCGCGCGCACTGTTGCATGTGCTCGCACCCGCTGCGCGCGCACTGCGCACGCACTGTTGCATGTGCTCGCACACACTGCGCGCGCTGTTGCCTGTGCTCACCCACGCTGCGCGCGCACTGCGCGCGCACTGTTGCCTGTGCTCGCCCACACTGCGCGCGCACTGCGCGCGCACTGCGCGCACGCTGTTGCCTGTGCTCACCCACGCTGCGCGCGCACTGCGTGTGCACTGCGCGCGCGCTGTTGCCTGTGCTCACCCACGCTGCGCGCGCACTGCGCACGCACTGCGCGCGCACTGTTGCCTGTGCTCGCCCACGCTGCGCACGCACTGCGCGCGCACTGCGCGCGCACTGTTGCATGTGCTCGCACCCGCTGCGCGCGCACTGCGTGCGCACTGCGCGCGCACTGTTGCATGTGCTCGCACGCGCTATTGCCTGTGCTCGCACACGCTGCGCGCGCGCTGTTGCCTAATGCGCGCGCGCTGTTGCTTATGCCACTACCACTACCACCACTATCACTACTACTACCACTACCACTACCACTACCACTACCACTACCACTACCACTACCACCACCACTACTAATTACTACTACTACTACTACTACTACTACTACTACTACTATTACTACTACTACTACTACTACTACTACTACTACTATACCACTACTACCACTACTACCACCACTACCACTACTACTACTGCCACTACTGCTGCTGCTTCTGCCACTACTACCACTACCACTACTGCTGCTGCTACTACTGCCACTACAACTGCTAGTATTATTATTACTACTAGTACTACTATTACTACCTATAATACTACCACTGCTTCTGGCAGTACTACCACCACTGCCACTACGCTGCTACTGCTGCTGCTACTGCTGCGGCTGCTGCTGCTGACAATGGACAGTGGACAGTGTGTGTGACAGAGTCTGAGCTTGTCGAGGTAGGACAGCAGCACCTGCACGACAGCACACTCCTAGCTTAGCCTTCACCCCCTAGAATCCCTCAGCCGAATCCCTCCCCCACAATTAAAAAGGTCGCGAATTAACCGACGCCTCCTCCGGTTAATTCGCCTTTCCCCACCTTTTGCCGTGCCTTGGCACGATACCCTTTTAGACCTAATAACTGCACTGTCCACTGTCTACTGTCCACTGTTTGTTAGCACTGCCAGCCGTGACTGGAGACTTGCAGGCCGGCTGGGCACGTTTACTAATACAGAGTTTCATGTGCAGAAAATAGGCTTTTCAGGGTTAGCTTTCTGGGGGTATGTTTCAATGTGGAGGATTCAGACATTTTGTGGGTTGGACGAAATCTTTCATTGTCTTAAGCTTGTGCCCTGATCAGCACTTGTTACCAGTATGCTCATGCCCATCAGCAACAACATCACAGCTGCCCACACCCTCGACACTAACACCATAAATTGAACCGCCTGGTGTGACAGGTGAGGGGGGGGGGCGGGGCGGTCGATTAATGTACCCTAGGGGTAATCATTGAGATCATTCAGGCTTCCAGCTTACTCTGCAAGTGTGCTGTTGCTTTGAAGTTACATGTATCGGGGCTTCCTTTGTGCTTTTTAGCTGAAGGGTTACTGCATTGAGTAGGTTATTCAAATCATTTCAACCGCTATCAAAATGGCGGCTACTACTCCAAATCCAGCCACAAGTGCTGGCCGCCAACAACATCATCATTGAATGCTTGGTTGTGTGTGATCTGCTTCGAGGAATGATGATTGGATAACTTCATGTCGCGTCAAACATAACCGTGTTACTTGAGTGCTTTGTTTTGT